TTTACTGACTGGATAGAGCTTCTCCATCTTTGACTGCAAATTATATAGTCAATCTGATTTCGGTGTTGCCCATCTGGTGATGTCCATGTGTAGAGTCGCCTCTTAGGTTGTTGGAAAAGGGTGTTCGCTATGATCAGTGTGTTATCATGACAAAACTCTGTACAAATATTATTATTTTAGCAAATATTAGCAAACATTAATGTCATTGGTACGATGCAAGTGCAGGGACAGCTGGGGGGGTCGGGTTCAGAGTTTACAGGAAACTAATCAAAATAATCCAAACTCAGAATAATAATAATAATAATTGTTGAGGGGTGAACAGTTGCCTTTAAAATAACACATTAATGTACTATTGCAAATATGATCATCTAAAAATAATAGCGCTTTGCTGTACATTAACACATTATTGTTAATCTCCATTATAACAAAAAAAAATTGTGTACTGGGGAGTGAAGGGGGACGGAAAAGGTAGAAGGGCACATGGATACAGAGGAGGGTTTCAAAGGGGGTGTAGCTCACCACTGCAAAAAACAACAGTTCAGGCATTTTGCACATGGAATAAAACCGACATGCAATCGGCTTGAAAATAAAATCGCCCTAAGTGTCCTGGGAGAAAAAACACAAAAAACCCAACAACAACATTGACTTGACATGGAGAAAACGACTTGGGGAATGAAAAATTAGAAATGTTGTAACACGACTGTATGTCCAAGGTAAAGTATATATGCGGAATGGGCCAATGTCTGTGTAAAGCCACTAAAGATGTCCAAAACTCTGGAGCCGGGAGTCTGCAATATACTGATAAGTCCTCAGAAGTAGCCATCACTGCTCTAAGCCAGTACTTGGCTACTGTGGTTCAGCAGAGGAGGGAGCCCAAGCTGAAAGACAGAAGCCCAATACAGACTACTATCCCCCTCGCGCATTGACCCACCATGCAGGAAGGAGAGCGAATACGTGTGTTTGCCCCACGTCTTGCCGCCACAAGATTGCCTGCTCATCCTCAAAGAATGGCTGCACAAAAGAAATAGCCATGCACACGACCCCATCTCATGGTCAGCAACAGTCTGAAAGCAGCATCGCTGATCACAGGGCACAGGTGTACATGCAGCCACTCCCTCTGCATGGTCGCACTCTAGAGATGACCGGGGATGGCATGGAGGCAAGGCCAGGGTCACCACACTCTTGCTTGCTCGCCCCAAAGCTAGGCAACAGACACATAGGGGTGCTCTTATACGCAGACAATGCCATCCTACTTGCAAGAACATCCATAGGTCTCAGGATTGCCATGAGTTCTTTTGCCCACTATTGCCAGAATAACAACTTGGAGGTTAACTATTCAAAAACTAAAATAATAGCCTATACTAAATGATCCCCCAAAACTTTCCATTGGCACTTAAACTCTGTTCCCATTGAACAAGTCACCTTTTTAAAATATCTGGGTGTTAACTTCCAGGCGAACGGTTCAAGAACTGTAAATATAAATTCTGCTGCCATAAATGCCAAAAGGAGCATGGGGGCAATTCAAAACTTTTACTGGTACAAAGGGGACAAATGTCTTGTAGCTGCCCTTAGACTATTTAAGGCCAAATCTCTCAGTCAACTTACCTTTGGAGCCCCCATCAATATTACATCTAACTACAAGAAACTGGACACAGTGCAATCAAAATTTTTGAGATCTGTTCTACAGGTACCTAATGGCATTCCAAATGCACTTATTCAAATTGAAACCAGAATGATTACTGTGGAGGCAAGGTTATGGATCATGGCAATTCATTATTGGCTTAAATTAATTTTTCTGTCCAAGGGGCTGACGCGTTTAGTATTACGACACCTTTATACCACCACCACCACCCCGGTTGAACGCTGTAGAGGAGAAACTCCCTTATTTTCGCCTCACAAGACAACACCTATGTTCCCTTGCCTATGACAAAGCTAGAGAATTGATAAAACAGAGGATTATGGCTATTGATAGGCAGAACGATACTGGTAGAACAGAGAAATGGAATATACTTCTGGACCCCATTAACAGAGTAAGTTCTATGGACTATCTTCACCATCTGTCAAACTACGAATATAGGAGAACATTTACTCGTATGCGTTGGGACATTCTTCCTCTAGCGATTACAGAGGGAAAGTATAAGAAAATCCCATTTTAGGAACTTATATGTCCCTGCTGTAATTAAGGCATTGAAAATTTAGAACATATTATTTTTGACTGTAAGGCCTATAATAATCTCCGTAAATCACTTCCACTTCCCAAGTCCTTACCTCTCACTAGTAGGCAAAGAGTTCATATTATGAAAAATCTCCCTGCGGATAGGCAATGGTAACATATCTAGTGGCTAGATCCATAATATCCATAAAATCCATAATAATGCCACAAGTTAAATGTAAATCACCTTACTGTTAACTATCTGTTTCTTAAGAATATTAAAATGCTTTTTTTTTTTTTGCTGTTTTAAACTTCTTTTACTACAGGCTGTGGCTGAGTGGCTCAGGCTGAGCCGTCTGAAACTAAACCCAGCGAAGACGGAGGTCCTGGGCCTGAGTCGGAACGGTTTGGCGTTGGGGCTCCCTCTCCCGATCTTCGATGGGGTGCCTTTGGTGCCTGCGTCGGAGGTTAGGAGTTTGGGAGTGCTCCTGGATTCCTCCTTAACGATGGAGGCCCAGGTAGCAGCCACTGCCAGGTCTGCATTTTACCATCTGAGGCAGGCTCGGCAGTTGGCTCCCTTCCTCGACCGCGAAGACCTGGCTACAGTGATCCATGCGACGGTCACCTCAAGGCTAGACCACTGTAACGCTCTCTACTCTGTCGCTGATCCGGAAGCTGCAGCTAGTGCAGAATGCGGCAGCTAGGCTGCTGATGGGCCTCCCCAGGTGGGAGCACATCAAGCCTGGGTTGAAGGCGCTGCACTGGCTGCCAATAGCATACCGAGTCCGCTTCAAAGTGCTGGTACTCACCTTTAAAGCCCTATATGGCCTGGGTCCGACCTACCTGAGGGACCGCCTTTCCCCGTATATACCCCCAAGAGCACTTCGGTCGGGGACCCAGAACCGGTTGGTGGTGCCGGGTCCCCGAGAGGTAAAGCTGGCTGCGACAAGGTCTCGATCTTTCTCAGTGGCGGCCCCTACCTGGTGGAATGAGCTCCCGGAGGAGATCAGGGCCCTGCGGGACCTTATGCAGTTCCGCAGGGCCTGCAAGACGGAGCTCTTCCACCAGGCTTTCATGTACGGGCCGCCGCTGTTACCACCACCACCAATGGTGGCAATACCATCGAGGTCGGGAATGCCCCTAGAAACTTAGCAGCAATAAGAATTATGCGACAATGAGACCAACGGACTGGCTCGGACTACCTATTGGATAATGATTCCCCAATTGGGGTTGCTGGAAGATACTACTATAACAACTTAAGACCATCTTGAAAATGGAAGCACTTTACTGTTAATTGTAATGTAATGTTTTGGTTAGGATTTTATGGTTTTATTGGATTTTATGTATGGGCTTGCGCCCCCTGTAAGCCGCCCTGAGCCCGCTTGCGGGGAGGGCAGGGTAAAAATGTTTAAATAAATAAATTTATTTACAGGGGCTCTTACTATCTATTAATTTTGTTGTGTTTTAAATGTTAATTGCTGGCTTTGGCCATAAAGTCTGTATCAGGCTAGAAGTGATACTGGTTGGCAAGACTAATGTTCTGGAAAGATAGTGCTGCCTATCTTTGATGGGGTGAATCTGTCTTTGACACATTTGGTTAAAAGTTCAGAAGTTTGCCCCACTCAGCTCTTATGTTATGAAAACAAATTGGTACAGTGGCAATCTAAACTGAATAGGGAGGGGACTGAAATATAGCAGCTATTATCATGACAAGAGATTTAGTTAATATATTTTGGTGATTTTTATTTTCTGCATTTTGTTAATTACATTAAATATTTATTTGAGGCCATTCATTGCTTTAAAACTTTTTTTTAGGGTTTATTTATGGATTTTCAATCACAAAAAAGAAATTTATTTTATACATAACATTCTGATATTAGCAGGAAAAGATGACAATTTTTTTCAGAAAAGGTGGATTAAAGTAAATAAATGTATAGGAATTGCTTTAAAACTTTTTGTTAGCTTAAAAAGAATACTTTTCAAAACCACTGGCAGAGTAACCTAGCACAAATGTCATATTCATAACCATAAAGTATCTCTATGCTGATGGAGAACATTATTTAGGCATCATAATGCAATTAAAAAAGCACCTCACTCCCCACATTACAAATAGAACAATATTGGTTACCAACACAAATCCCCTGTTTTGCTCTTGGTTAATATTGCACTGTAAATAATTATACAGAGTTTAGTATCTAAAGTCTCCTGATCCCGAGTATCCCCAAAGAAGAAATGTGTAGGCAGAACCAGCTACACCACACTATGGCAAGATGAAATGCCAGAATGGTCTACTGCATTGATACTACAACAGGACATCGTGTCGCGTTCTGAACAACAGCGTGGAAGAAGTTAACATCACGCCAGTAATAACTACCCAGTCCTAATGAGCCAGGGAGGAAGGGGCTGTATCATTTCAAGGTTTGCAAGCGTTTGCCCCAGCAAAAGACTGCGTAGTGCATAACCTTCTCACTGCATACCACTCCTGCCCGGATCGCCGCGTCACTGAAACACTCCATACGTAGAGACATTCCCGCAGTACAAATCTAACTTCCAGCTTACATGTATTTTGTCTTGGGTAGGAAAAACGCGTGGGAAAGGGACTGGAAAAAAAAGAAATCAACACTCATCCTTTCTGCCTCTGAGAACAACTTTTCAGTTCTGCAATACCTCTATATCTTCGCATCTCGAGAAACCCCTTACACATGGGGAGGGAACACGCTGGAATGTATAAAGCTGTGGCTAATCGGGGCAAAAAAGAAAACACCGTTTCCGAGAACAGGGCAATCAATGCAATGGGATAATACATCCTATTATCCGTCTTCCCTAACGAGCCACGTACGTCACTTACCAGACTGAATCTACAGTCCTCCTCGTTCCTTCTCAGAGGGAAGAGGACAGATCTTGAGGCCTTTCCTCGCCAACTCGAGGACGCCCCCGGGCTACCCTTCACGCCATCTCACGAAGCACCTCTAAAGCCACCATCCTTGCTACTGGCTCTTGAGTCCTAAAATGTATAACTTCGGATACTGTTAAGCAAGCTTCATTGCGATTGGCTAAGTTCTCCTCAGGCTGCAGCGCTTTAAACTGTGATAGGTTCGTGGAAGGTACGGAGAGACGCTACACTGCCACCTTTTCCGCCAATCTATCGCTAGACGGCAAATACTCTGGACTCCACTGGCTTGTTTAGGGATTGAAACAGGAGCTATTTGTCGATCTTTAAAGCCAAGGGTTCCTTTAGGAGTAGATCTCACTTGGTCTATGGCAAACCCTAGCACACTGGCTTCTTCCTTATTGAGACGAGCCCCATAATTTTGTCTGAGATAAGAGTTTCTGTATTTTTTACCGGTAGAAAAGAATAAGAACCCAGTAGCACCTTACTGACTAAAAAAAATGTGGCAATGTATGAGCTTTCGTGAGTCACTGCTCACTTCTTCAGAACACGGATTGCCTTTTCACCAGATCGTGGTATTATTTTCGAGTTTGATATCTTCATTTATAATTTTATTTATAGATCAATGCAAGAAGTTACATTTTCAAAATACTGAGAATTTAACAGCTAATGTAATTATGAGAAACTACTACTGATATGAGTTCGAGTCCAGTAGCACCTTTAAGTTTTATTCAAGGTATTTCCTTCTGTCTTCCACCGTCCTCCGGAGTTTGCTCAACATGGCTACCCACCTGAATCTACCACTGATATGATTTTTCTTTCATTTGTTTGTTCTATACTGATTGCAATACTGTTATTTTGCATCCCTGTGTATTATAATTTGACATGTTCATGTATACATGAAATCATGTGTTCATGTGTATTAAATCAGAATAACTTACTACATGTTTTGCAGTTTCTTTCCTTTGCTTCTGATATACTTTAAGAGCTTGGAGTGCATTATCCATAGCACCACAGAAAGCTGGGTGCATCTTAAGACCATCTAGTCCAGAGATCCCCAGACTTCATGAACCTGCAGGCACCTTTGGAATACTGACACAGGGTGGTGGGCAACCTCAAAATGGCTGCCCAAAGAGGTGGAACAGACCGCAAAATGTCAGGGAGTGAGGCTACGCAAAACTCTTCAAATAGTAACTTCAAAATTTCAGACAGAAGCTCTGCTTAATAGGATGCTTTTCAAAATGAACATATAATTTAAAAAGATTTTCTTACATACACACACAGCTTATCTTGAATGATGCGGGGAAGATCCTTGTGCCGTGGTGGCAGCTGCTAGGGAAGCAATTTTTTAAAATCTGCACAGCTAACCTCAAAATGGCTGCCCAAAGAGGTGGAACAGACCGCAAAATGTCAGGGAGTGAGGCTACGCAAAACTCTTCAAATAGTAACTTCAAAATTTCAGACAGAAGCTCTGCTTAATAGGATGCTTTTCAAAATGAACATATAATTTAAAAAGATTTTCTTACATACACACACAGCTTATCTTGAATGATGCGGGGAAGATCCTTGTGCCGTGGTGGCAGCTGCTAGGGAAGCAATTTTTTAAAATCTGCACAGCTAATCAGATCTCCATTGGCTAATCAGAAGCCCTGCTGAGCAACACTCCCACCAAGCGCTGCCACCATGTGTTTCTAAAAACACATGGCTGGCACCAGGAAAGGTGTCAGTGAGAGCACCATGTACTCATGACAACATGATCTAGTCCAACTGCAATGCAGCATTTAGACAATATTCGCTGCATCTCTATTTCCTTTATCCATTAGCTCATAGGATCCCAAATTACATTTAGAATGTACATGAAAGCATATTTTCTGAATTAGGCAGGCAAATGGCAGGTGTGCACAAGGTGTATGATGTTATAGATGCCCACAGGGCAAAAATAGTTTAATTAGGTGGCTTAAGCAAACATGTCATGCTACTCACTAAGGAAGATAAATTTCCTCCCATCACATAACAAGTCAATCTCTCCAGGGGGTGGGGGGGAATTCCTTCTCAGCCTTCACTAACATAATCAGTTAAGCCCCAAAAGTGAAAACCCACTCCTTGCTAGGGTGATGCTGGCTGGTGCACCACTCCACCGTGAGGACTGGTTAGCCCCATCTAACAATTTCTTGAACAACAGGTTTTTAAAAACTGTAACATAGCAGCTTACACTTTAAAAATTAGTTTGTTTTTAGAGTAGGCTATATCCTGGTGTTGTTTTCTAATCAATGCTGGCCTGACTAATAACTCCATCCCCCCTCCCCAGTCAAAATATGCTACTGTTCCAAACTAAACAGATGGTATGCCCTATCTTATGCATCTAAGATTTCCCCTGTGTCAGGACAATTTTTTCAAGATCCCCAGTGGGGGGAAATCCTGCTTTAATTACTATGACTCTGAGCATGGTGGGGGGCTCAAAGAATACCTTAAGAAACTTCTTATATATTTCAGGAAAATGTAGGTAGAAATTTATGAACTTAAAAGAACTTGTCTTTGCAGGGTCCCCAACCTTTTTTGAGCCAGCAGGCACCTTTGGAATTCTGACACAGTGTGGTGGGCAGGGCCACAGAATGACTGCCTCAGTAGGCAGAGCCAGCCACAGCTTACCCTCAGATACAGAGTGAAGATCCTTGTGCTAAGGCGACAATTCCTGCCAATGCAACATTTTTAAAAATCTGCACAGCAAATTAAATTTTCAATGGCCAAACAAAAGCCTTGGTTGTCAAAAGCCCCACTTGGCCCCTCCCATTTTCCATAAACATTTGGCCAGTATCCGTAACGGTGTCTGCAGGCACTGTGGCACCCCTGGCACACCATGTTAGGGACCCCAATCTTATGCATTTCTGATGCTAACAATTCATAGATTAAAAAATACATTTAGGCTAAGACTGAGGCTCATTAAAGTTACCTGTTAGCTATCAAGAAATCACTATTTTTCAGCCCTGACCTGGATAGCCCAGGCAAGCCCGATCTTGTCAGATCTCAGAAGCTATCCAGAGTTGTTTCAGGCAAGTACTTGGATGGGTGACCTCCTTGAAATACCAGAGGCGGGAGGTGGGGGCAGGCTTTACTCAGCCACCTCTCTGAATATCCTCTAGGGCCCCAGTAGGGGTCAGTCACCAGAGGCCACCATGACTTCCACGTGCACACACAGTCAGTCGCCAGAGGTCATCATGACTTCCAGGTAAACACACACACACACACACACACACATATCCACTTTTTTTTTTTAAAAGAAATCACTATTTTCCCATTAATTTATGTGAAGCCTCTTCTGGAAATGTGGCAGACTCACCTAGCAAAGATGACTGGTTACAGCTTTAAAAAGGAAGTGAACTAAGTCTGTACAGTAGTTCCATTTCTAAAAACTCGTTATCTATCCTATTATACTAAAGGAAATTGCTTTTATTTACCTGAAGTACAGGAGTGACTGATGACAATTGAAAAGTGCACTTAATAATGAGTGACCAATCACTGAAGTATGAAGAAACAGCCTAATGTGCTATACAAGATGCTTCCATTATTAACAGAACTGCTTTAAAGAAGAATGCACATGTGTATACACATATATAGGCCTAGGGCTGCCAAACCCCCCCGGGGGGTGGAAATCCCCCCGCCCCAGAGGCCCGTTCCCAGATGCCGGGGAATCGGGCCCCGGGGGGAACCCCGCCCCAGAGTGCACGTCACAGGGAAGTGACGGTATGACGCCGGGTACGCTGGGGGCGGGGCCACGGCCATATAAGGGAAAACTATGTTTTTCCCTTGTATGGTCGTGCCCCCACCCCCAGCGTGCCCGGCGTCATGACGTCACTTCCCTGTGACGTGCATGCGGTGCGCGCGCGCCCCGGGAGCCACACAGGAGTCCCCCACCGGAGAGGTGAGTACCATTTGGCAACCCTATATAGGCCCCATATTATAGGGCCTCTGTCAAGCTCAGGCCTAACTTCCATTTCCTTAAGCTCTGCTTTCCTTTCCCTTCGCTTGTCATGTTGAATTCCGGGGGGGGGGGGTTGTGGGAGTGCATGGGGTAGTAGCCATAATCATTCTTCAAGCTGTGCCCCAAGAGTTGGTTCTCCTATGATTGACCTTGGAGCCTTTCTGTGCCTAGGCTAGGTTAGATAGGGTACCATATATCTGTCTGTGTTGCCACAGAAATGCTGGGGGTTAGGTGTGACGTATGCAAGTGTGGAATTTTATGCTTTTACCTATAACCTGTAAGTTCCCGCTGTTTTCTTTAGTCCTAACAAAAGTTCTCGTACCTACAGCAAGTATACCTTCAATAAAGCATTTAACTGCCAATAGTGTGTGTGGAGAGTGTTTTAGCTGGGGACCTGACAGCCTCTTCACAAGTTACATGACAAATGGATGCTGGCTAGTCCTATAACCTTAGAACGTATACTTTGTATACCTATGGCTATACATAGATGTTTGGAAAATGCACACACAAAGTTTCACATTAATACATTGTATCCATTAGAAATTTTATGTGTAAAATGGCCTTTTTCTTCTAGATTGATTTTCTTTTATGTTGGGTGGCCAAACTCGCTTAATGTAAGAGCCACATAGAAGAAACATCAGATGTTTGAGAGCCACATGAACAACTATTACTCACATATTTTTATTGGAAAATATGCAAATTTGCTTTTTATTAACATTAAATAAAACTGCCAGGAATAAAAAAGGGGTAAAAAAAGATAATGATGATCATATTTAAAGAGGCAAATGCATTCTCCAAGCCGGTCAGAGGGGGTGTCTTTAAGAATGTATTTAAAGTTGCTTTCTTTCTGTGCTCCCCCCCTACCTCAAGCCTACCCAGGGAGGGGAACACTGGCTAGGGAAGGGAAGACCAGATGGAGAGGCATGCCTCCCCTTCACTTCCCCAGCCACCCTGCCAGGTAGGGCTGCCAAGTGGGGGGGGGGAGCAGGTAAACCCTCGCTTTGGAGGCCCGATTCCCGCTGCCCGGAATTGGGCCCCGGGGGAACTCCGCCCCCCGAAGCGCAGCATGGCTGCGTCACCAGTGGTGATGCAACCACGTC